GGCCTTAGAAACGAAGGACTTGGAGGCCCCGGGCCGCAGGGACGCGTCGAGGGAAGACGACCGAGACGCCAGCCGGCCGCTGGGCGGCTTCCCAGAGCCCGGGGTGCATCTGGCCCCCCTCGGCTTCTGCGCCCAGAAACAGGCGGCCCCAGGTGCCCGTCTGTGCAGTCCGTGGCGGCTGTTACACTCTGTCTGCAGTTCTTAGAACACTCCGTTCACTTTAAAGTTAACTAATCTGTTCCACGGTGCCTGTCACGAGCGCGTCTTCACGAAAGTGACCTTGTCCACGGCAGAGGTGGGGCGCGAGGGCAGAGCGCGGTTTTATCATTTTCAAGTGGGTGCGCTGAATGGACTCGGCCGCCTCCGTCGGCCCCCTCGTGCGCCTCGGCCCCCACTCGGCCACGTGCGTGCCTGCCCCCGCGGCGGTGCTGCGACGCCGCCAGGGGCTCCTCGCGTCCGGCCGCAGCGGAAATTGCCTCGTCTGTGCCAGGCGCCGAGTGGTGGCTTATGGCGCCGCCCTCTGGCCCCTGGGGGTCCGGCCACCAAGTCGTGCAGCTCCTCCACGCGCCGGTGGGCTTCACTGCACGAATCCTCAGAATCCACTCGCTCACGTCGCCGCCGGTCTCCAGTCGCCTCGCTTTGCGAAGCTGCCACGCTCGTGTGGCAGATAGAGGCTTTTGGAATTTGATTCTTGCGAGAGTCCACATGGAGCAGCGCGGCTCTCAGCGGCCCCTGAAGTGACCGGCGCCCTCGGCGGGTCTCTGAGGAGACGCCTGCCCCGTGCCCTGGTGCGCCTTCGCCTGCCTGCCCGTCCTCCTCCCTGGTTTATGTACGTTCTGGAACAAAAGCGCTGCGTAGCGCGGCCTGCCGTGAAGCAGCTCTGGGCAAGCGGCTGAGGGCTGAGGGCTGAGGGCCGCGGAGCGTCGCCAGCCGCAGGGCACACTCGTGCAGCCAGCCGGCGGGCCTGGGCCGGGCGGGAGCACTTGGTGCCGCCGTGGAAAGCAGCTCGGTCACGACAGATGTCATCTCTGGGGTAGCGCTAGGACTTTCTGCAGCGGTGGAGTGTCTCTCTCGTGACAGTAGCCAACAGTTGACGGGGCCCTCGAGCACTTGACATGTGACAAGTGTGATGAGAAATGAGTTTCGTGTCTAAGAGTAATTGGTTCAGATGCAAGCGGCCACGTGCGGCTGGCGGCTGCCACGTTAGCACAGGGCCCGCGGGGTGTCCGTGGGCCTGGCCGGCGGGGCTTGGCGGGCGCCGGCCTGAGTAGGTGGAGGTTTGGGCCTCCAGAGTGGGCGGCCTGCTCGGAGCACCCCCGGACCGACAGCGGGAAGGCTGACCCCTCCAGCTTGCAGCTCTGACTCCTGCTGGCGCGAGTCTCGTCGTATCCCTGTGGCGGTTCCTGCGGGGCTGAGTGCTGGCGCTGAGTGGGTAGGCATGGGCAGCGCGTCAGCCGCTGCCAGTCGGTTCCTGGCCCTGCCCGGCCGCCCGCAGAGGCGGGCCTACTCCAGAGGCTGCAGTTTCAGTTTCATGGGCTGTGAAATGTTACTGTTTTCCTTTTTCCCTAACCATCAGGGATGTGAACGCCACTGTTAGTGCCCGGCTGTACAAAGGCAGCCAGGCTGACCTGTGGGTCGTTTGCCAGCTCCTGATCGAGGAGACGGAAAAGCGGCCAGATGACTCGCTGAAGGGTGTTTCCTCACAGAGGCTCACTCCGAGAAAACCAGCGCCGCTCCCGTCTGAGAGACAGGAGCCGGCCCAGCGGGCTTCCCGGGGTTC